CCAGGTCAGTAGGTGAACGAGGAAGTAACTGAAGAGCGGATTCAATTGATATTTTTTGTACTTGGTGTGGTGACATAAGCTCTGTTTCGCTTATTGCATTTGATTATTGTCCACTATACAGCAGGTGAAATGACAAATGCCACCTAATTTTAACTTAAATCATCCTTTCATAATGATAATAATAATCAATCCCTTATTAGTCCCGCCGTGGGGAAATGTGTTCTCTGCATTTTACACTGTACAGCAGGGTACGACTTTGAAAACGAATTGACAACATCTTTTGCGTTTTCCTTTTGATGCTGTAATAGAATAGAATGTTCATCTGAGTGGAAATGTGTCGGGGGCACAGTGTTAAGAGTCCAGTGTTTGAAATAAAAAACATCACAGAAGCATCAAACCATCATAAAACGTACATTAAGAGACATTGGACATTGACAAAATGATAGATTAAAGTGCTTAGTGCTAAAGTGTTTATTTATTTATAGCACATTTCTGTATTGCAAGATGAATGAAGTTCAGCATATTGCCTTGACATTTTGGTTTCTTTCGTACATTTTCACAGTGTAAATGGTAAATGGACTTGTACTTGTATGCACTCTTCTAGTCTTTCCGACCACTCAAAGCACTTTAACACTACATGTCATCATTCACCCATATTCATACACTGATGGCAGGTGTCCATACAAGGTGCCACCTGCCCATCAGGACTGTCTAACATTCACACACATTCACACACCGTAGGCATGGCTACCTACCGGAGCAATTTTGGGGTTAAGTGTCTTGCCCAAGGATACATCGACGTGCGACTGAATATGGGACAGAAACAGGTCCCACTCTTTACAGCATTGTTCAGCGTACATTGACGGTGCCTAATTGCACTGATATGATTACATTCTATTCTATGTCATAGCAGTATCGACCTTAAGGGTGCTGATATGAGCTAACCTCAGCCATCATAAGTTGTGGTCATACCAAATGCTGTCGAAGCAAACCCCTGAGTTTATTCAATTCACCAATTGTGCCTTTTACATTATATTACATTTATTAGGCGCCTTTGTCCAAAGTGACTTACAAAGTGCATTTATACCACGTAAAAGCAAGAGCCCTTCTTCTAACAAATTGAAGTTGAGAGATGCGGACCAGAGTTACTGTGGTCAGTCAGCACGTTGAACATTGGTTCTTAGTGACAGACAGAACTGATAGTGTCTACGTTGCTCAGTATCCTCAGCGTTCCAGCCTTTCTATACCCAGTCTGCGTGCCATGTGTGCAACCGTTGGTGTGAACATACTTGCTCCCTCATGCATGCAGTAGTTGCCATTGGACTGTGCAGCAAACAAACTGAAAAGCCAACTGGAGGTCTGTGGGTATACCCACAGATTCCTCTGAACAATGATGATGGTTTGGTGCCACAAAGTGCATGGTGCCCTTGATCCTTTGTCAGATCAGATCTTCACTGACTTCTGACTTTTTACCCAGTTGATGCTGTGACCAGTTTTAGTCTGGTCCCCATGCATTGCTCCCGACAGCGATTGCATGTTATGTCATACTCCATCCCAGTCTCCCTCTCAGGGGTGGTTCTGCTCTTAGGGTCTGATCTTGTGGGTATTGAATAGTTTGTGATAAGTGTTGAATCCTTTCCTCCAGCTAGATTTTCTGACATAAGGTTAGGATCAAGTTGTCCCTGTTGAGTCTGCCCTGGTATTTTGGGGTTGGGAGTCTCATCATCTAATTATGAAACTGGAAGGCTGGTGTGCACCCAAAAGCAAACCATTCAAAGCCTGTAGTGCACCAAGTATTATGCCGGAAGCATAATAATGGAAACACAATACGTGCAAAACAACCAGATTCACTTTAAGGCTGTCTCATTGTGATGCTTTTTGTCTACAGAAAAACACACATAAAGTAAGGGCACACAGATAGGGAATCTTGTGAAACCTCTTTTCAGTCTCCATTTAATTCCATTCACATCGAGTAGAATATGCGATGACAGGCACTCTCACTGAGAACACTTTGATATTCTCTGTGTACTGTCTCCACAAGGCCTTTCTCTTACACCTCTAATGGACACAGTATCACGTCTGGGAAAGCGTTTGTTGGGAGAGACAGGCAGGGGGGGGGGGGGCAGTGCCAGGTAGTTCTACATTCTGTCTCCTCTAACATGTCATCAGCAGGAGCCATTTGATTCACAATGCACTTATTTCACTGTTGTGTTGCAAATCATTTAGACAAAGAACAGTTTAAAGGCTATTATTTATAAGAGTAGGAGCATATATAAATCTCATCTTTAATCAAAAGACACGTAATGCTTACTTCTCTTCACAGGTCCAGGTGTGTGTGGATTAAAAACTGCTGTGTGTCCTGTGAAACTACAGTGTCAAATTCAATCTCTTATGAATTGAGTTTAAGGCATAATATTCTGAAACATGCTGTAGATTACGAGTTATATGCTCAGCCTGATCCAGGACTTTGTAAACAACATATCATGGTGCTGGATGGCTCCAAAAACGTAGACATTTCAGTCACAGAGCCACTATGGGAAGAATGTTAGAAATAAACAGACATCGGAATCTTAAAAGGGTTCTATTCTGCCACTGGTGGCTGGATGATTTGAGTTTTCGTAAACTGGGGAACAGGGGAAATTAGAAATAAAGGCCTGGTTCTCTGTGCCACTGAAATACAATGAAATCAAATAAAGGCCCTGGCCACTGTTCCAGAAGTATATCATCCAGCCACCAGTGACAGCACTAAACACACTGACGAGCAGCACTCCAGTCAGTGAGCAAAGAAGCAGTCCTGCATCATCTTTAATTCAAGATGATTTGCAATGACTTTAATTGAACTACTGAGTTGGAATAAATCATGCGTTCGTTGCTACTTTAAGCTGCCTGACATCGTTTTTGTCCCAACTTGTAGATAACTAAGATTTCATTGTAAATTGTATGAATACATCCGTGGCTGAAATGTCCAAGCAAAACTGACTAGACGTGTTACTGATAAGAAATGTTGCCATGGGCAGATTTTGTCGGAGGAAGTCATTTTGAAAACAATGACTGGAATCTGAGTTTTTACAGATTCAAATTTGTATCACATTCCTTCCTGGCAATATGGTTGTTATAGACAAAAGCCTATGGGAACAATTTGACCAAGGATTAGTGAAGATGGTGTAACGTCAAAGGTACAAAAGGTAAATTAATTCATCCATAGTGCATCATCCCAATCAACCAAGGCTGGTTAACAAAGTGAAGGAACTTGGATACTGTCACAACTGGGGGTGGACAAACGTCTGGTGCCGAGGTAAATCAGGCAGATTACACAGCTGTGGAAAAGGTATAACAAGAGCCAAAGTGCCACCCACTAGAAGGGGTAGGACGGATAATTGAGCATCACGATGACTGGTCTAGAAGAACAGCACCCAACAACCTGGCTGCACCACCACTGGGCTGATTGCTGTGTCAACTATATCTAGAGCTATATCGCATGTGTGAAAGTCACAGTAAAAAGGTGGTGAGTGGGAGTGAACATAGAATTAAATTTGTGACAGTAGAGAGAAGACAGAAAATGAGAGTAAGAATGGAAGACATCCAAAAAAGGTCCCCTGCAGGACACAAACCAGTGCCATTCATTCATCCTATTGTTTCTGCACTGTACGTTTGCTCTGGTTTATGCTCTTAGATGCTTGTTTAAAAAAGGAGATGCACTTATGACTTCTGGTGACTAGTAGTTCTCTTGAATACCTATGTTGAATACACTTACTGTAAGTCGCTTTGGATAAAAGCGTCTGCTAAATGACTGTAATGTAATGTAATGTATTCAGGGGCCTTCACTTCATGGAGACATTGCACTCTCAAATGGAAGTGAGCCGTCCCCATCCCTCTGCTGGTATGAGACATTATATCAGACAGGTCAGGTATTCAGAACTCGAGTGGCATCTGCGATGTATATTATTCATGTGTGACTTTTTGCAGGCCATGCTCAACAATCTAGTGTTAGGTCATGTGCAGCTGTTTTTGTATTATATTGCAATTTGGCATTGCATGCAAGACTGTACCACTTTGAAACATAATGAAAATGCAAAACACACTGTAGGATGTCTGTTGGGGTTCTGACAACCGACAAACATTTTGGAGAAATTGATATTGACAAACACAACACATTGACTTTATGTGTTTGTAGTTACAAGTTAGATCAGATCAGATCTCTGCATGAACGTTTCATGAATGAGGACAAATCTATTGGATCATAGTGAATTTCTTACATATGATACCCTGGTTTTCTGTACATCGACTAATGAACCGGACACTATTACCACTTTCAACCACATCATCCCAGATTCTGAGCAAGCTATCCCTAACATAATCTAAGGAGTTTAAATTCTCTAACCTTATCCATAGTGTAGTTTCCTTGGTAGTTACTGTTGCAATAACTAGTTGGAAAACATTGGTGGGGAATATTTGGCACATATATTTTTGAAACTCATAAAATATTTTCCCTTCATCCTTAAAATCAGTCTGTATATAGTATGTATGTTCCTGGTAAAACTATGACTAGGAAACAAATAACAGCAGGGCTTCCTGATAATTACTGAGCCAAACCAAGTCAGCAACCTTCATTACAGCTGCTCTTTCACCAAAAACAATGGAGCAGGTGGAGGCTGTCAGTTGAAGGGCCGCCCCCACCTGTGACACTTGTTCCCTAAAATATTTGGCTCTGCTGCTGAAAGCACTTCAGAGGAACTCACCACCTGCATCATCAAACACAGGTTTCCCAAACATTTAGCTCGGACAACAAAGTAAATCCACTTTGCTTTTGGCAGCATCATTTAGCTAGTTAATGGCACTGCACATGAAAGGTGATTCCTATCCTCCTTTGTTTGAACTTTCCCTTTGTTTGAACTTTCCCTTTGTTTGAACTTTCCCTTTGTTTGAACTTTCTCTTTGTTTGAACTTTCCCTGGGCAGCAGTCAAAATGTCTTTAAAGTGAGCTCAGAAGTGTTTTCTACCTGTCTTGGGGTCAACAGAGAAGTAGGGCTGTCCCTCCAGGACGCTGTAAACTATCTTGGCGCTGTTCCCGTAGGTCGGATCATCTGCATCTGAGGCTGTCGCTTGCAAAACTGACGTTCCTGCACAGAGAAGGGAACACATGTTAAGTGATCAGATGGTGACTCGCCACAACAACAGACCACCACAAAGAAATAAAGAGAGGAAGAGTTTGTGAATACTGACCAAAATAAAAGCCGACATCTTTCGTACTTTTATGAACATAATATATTTGAGAGAAAGTTACTTCTCGACCTTTGAACTATAAAGAAGAATTTCATGGGGAATATATCTCATTATTGTGGCCATTTTGAACCACGCATCATGCTCACTTTTACATTGCCACCTCAGCAACATATAGAATTATTCTATACATTTCAAATAAATTATTTTGAACACCTTCGCCTTTAAGTGCAAACAAAAGAAAACATAGAGAACAGTCCCCTAGATTCGCTATGGGAGCAGCAGAGCATGCTATAACACACAGGATGTATCTACATTATTTCGTTCTAACTAAACCCAAGTAAAGTATGTACAATGCCCGGTAATCCAGCGGAACATTATGAGGAGTACACAGATGAGGAGCTACATAAAATGGGAGAGGAGGCATGATGAATGGAGGCAGTGACAGAAAGGCAGCAAGAAGACGTAACTGGTGCTGTTCCTACAGTCAGTGCTCTCCTGAGCCCACTTAGGAGGAAATACTTTGCTGCAGAGAGTGTGACCTGTTGGCGACAGACACCGTCCACTGATAAGAGTGATTCCAACTGTGTAGCTATAACAAAAGTGTGGCTCTGATCAACATTGCCGTTTCACTCTCCACGCGGTAAGCAGCAATAAGCGATGATACGTTCGTGATTCTAGGGGCCATATTTATGGGATTACTTTTGTAGAACAAAGAGACAAGTGTTAACAATAATCGATGAACAATTGATGGTTCACGCTGCTTGCCCTGATATTCTATTTAGTTTTAGTTCATATATCCTATGCATGTAAATGCGTGCGTGTGCATTCTGCTTCCTAGACCACAATGTAGCAGTCTGTGATAGAGCTCTTCATGCCAAATAGAGTCCAAGGCTTTCTTGAAATCAATGATACAAGTAAATATCTTTCTTTCTTTTTTTTGTGTACGTGTTTGAAGTGTGAAGGGTTTATACATACTTGGTGGTGTGGTGTTTTGGGAGGAAACCAGTTCTTCTTCAGTGAATATCATATATTACCATAAATGACTTCAACTTTATTATAATCGTCATTATACATTTGGTACATGTATATGAAAATGGGTTCAGTATGACATGACCACAGTTCCATACTTCAGTAATATGATCAGCAATCTCCATGATAAATCAGCAAACTCCATCTGCTGATGAAGATCATATTAAAATCCTCGGAAAAAGTCGACTTGAGTTATTCTCCTTGTCTGAGTATTTAACCTAAATCTGTGTGATTGCTCCCTGATTTTTAATTTTTCAAAGGTGCCTTTGGTCCTATCATGTTTTTTGTAGCTCTGAAAACACAGTCGATCACAAGCAAACCAAAACACTACACATTTAAATACTGTCACTGCTGATACACGAGCCTCTGTGGCTTGGTTTTCATTTCTCATTCTAAACAATCTGTTCTCTGTGAAAATATCTTGTTTCTATGAAAATGCGACACTCTAAACATCCCCTGAATGCGGACAATGAGCTGCAGTGGAGCACAGTGTGTGTTGTCAGCAGTGCTCTTTGTAAAGAGCCACAGCCCATTAGCCTGGCCATGTAGCAGCAGACAGGAGAAGCCAAAGCTTTTAACCATCTCATTCATCATCGTAGACCTGCGGTGTGTTTCTGCTCATGGAGTGTAAAATGTTCACTTCATGTCAAATGAAGGGTCATGGATTGTTTTAAATTCTTCACTAGCTAATACATTTTCTTTGTAAATTACCAACAGTTTTCTTAGAATTGTGTATTTGTTTTTAGTGGAAAATAATCATGAGACAACTGTGAGAAAACTGTGAGATACTCTATCTATACTACCATTGTGCTGTACTTCTGTAACCATACAATAATGCCATAATGTGAACGTATAGACCAGGGGTCGGCAACCTGCGGCTCTTCAGCCCCTCTGTTGCGGCTCCCTGAGTCCACATCCACACTAATAAGTTTTCGTTTTAAACGATCTCCGTCCACACGGCGTTTCAGCATCGTTTTATAAATGATCTCCGTCCAGACTTAAACGCCTGAAATGGAATATCACGTGACTATTCACGCACACTGGGCATGCGGGTGGGTGCCGGTGTAAAGAGGAAGTAGATTGGTTGCTCAAAGCCGCTAACGTGACTTCAGACATCTGCTCCGTAGGTCTGATAACACCGCTGGACACGCTGCTCGCTAATCGCTCCAATAACAGCTGCTTCCTCCGCAGAAATGCAAACTTTAACTGGACAACAGCTGCTAGTAAAGACAACAAGGCCAGTAATACCTGACCTTAAATAAAAATGTTTTAATATTTTGTCAACTAAAATGTGTGTCACATCCTATTACACCTGTCAAGCACCTTTCCCTGCAGGTGGCTAATCATGATCTGCAGACCCCCGCCCTCTGTAAACTATCAATGGATGAATCCAAAAAAAGAAAAGTCACGGAGGAAAATAGAGAGTTTAATTCTGCGTGGACGTATTCATTTAATTTCACTGCCAACGATGCTGGCTTACCTGTATGCTTGATATGTGCAAACAATGTAATGTTGAAAGACACTTCCAGAACAAGTACACAGAATTTGCTGAAAAGTATCATGGAGATAATTTCTCAGCTGCTGCAGCAAACTCTCCTCTTCATAAGAGTTTGATATTGTTATAGCAGGTAAAATAACAATAAAATGTCAAGAATTGTCTTTATTCTTGTTCTATATTTTCATAAATACAACAAACTATAGTTTTTGTATATATAAAATAACTATATATAAAACTTTATAAGCTGTGATATCAAATAGCTTTAGCGGCTCCAGATGAATTTTATTTGGTGGAAAATAGGACAAAATGGCTCTTTGGATAGTAAAGGTTGCCGAGCCCTGTTATAGACAGTAGACTAATGGATAGTCCCTATGCTTTTTCGTGTTCATATCATCCATGTATAAACTCTATATACAGTCTGTACAAGTTAGAAGTATCCACCATAAAATATTCAGTTAGGAAGATTCTTCATTCCCTGTCAGGCAACCTTCTTCGGTTCTGAAAAGTGAAGCCAATGCTGAAGTGTCTTTAACTTGCATTTTCTCTAATGTTCATCAGGGGGTGATTCCTCTGGTTGTATAGAAGTCTATGAGAAAATGACTCTACTTCTCACTTGATTTATTACCTCAGTAAACATTGTAAACATGATTTTATGGTCTCAATTGCTAGTTTCAAGTCTTCAATACAGCATGTAAAGTAAAATAGAGCATATAGCAGGGTATGCTTTAGGGCAGGGCTACCTTGTGATTGAAGGGTCGCTGCCATGGTGTCTTTTCACTTTATTAAAGTTAATTGTAACATTTTGGTCACATCTTAGTCTGCTCACCTTCTCCTGTCACTTCTGGTTACAAATAAACAAAATTGTGACAAGCTAAATGCTGAACGCAAGGCTTCAAAACAGCAGTCCACAGACCAATGGGTGACGTCACAGTGATTCCATTCAGTTCTTATAAACAGTCTATAGTTGGGCCCTGTCTTGGGGCTCTTACACACTGTCATGTCCTGAAAATGGAAATCAGTACTATTGACAGATGGGCAGGAAGAATCAAGGCAGTGGCTGTCTGGATAAAGAGGTCATCAATGATTTAAGCCATGTCCACACTACTACGTTTCCATTTTAAAAAACGCATATCTTTTGCTATGTTTACACTGAGCGCCCACACTAGGCCGGAGTTTTCGAGCACAGAAAGCAGATTTTGGAAACAATGTTTGGAAACAACATAGACACCAGCATTCGCTACTTGATTGGGTCTTTGCAGTTAATGATTCGTCACGCCCCCTATCACGTGACCCTTTTCCGGAAGAAAACTAGCAACAACAGCCTTGATTATCGATCGACTACCAGTGGTTAATTTAATATGGATAACTGATATACTGTCTATACTAGCAGCTGTTGTGCAGTTAAATTCAGCATTTTATAATTCTACTGCTGTCGAAATGTGGAGGAAGCAGCTGTTATTGGAGCAATTAGCGAGCGCCGTGACCAGCGGTGTCATCAGCCCTACGGAGTGAACGTTTGAAGTCATGGTTTGTAGCTTTGATGGACATAAAATGGAGGACTTTCCTTTCCCTATTAATGCTTATTTTGTTCTGCACAACTACTGTGAAGTCCACACAGAAACTGTAAACTAACAAAAGCATGAACGTTTTCTTGTACGATAGAGACTTTAGCCACCAGCAGAGCTACGAGTGAGAACAGACAACAACAAAACCGAGGAAATGAGTGAGAGAAGTGTGTTAACCACATTTATTGACCCATAATCTAGTAAAGTTGGATTTGTATGTGTTCATTTTAAAGTAAATTAGATTTGTGAGAGAGATGGAGCAAGAACCACAGCCTTGTAACTGAATGAAAAATCCCTAACTTCTAAAACTTTCCATGAATTTTGTCTGTTTAAGTTTTTAGAGGAAGATCTTAAGTATCAAGCGAGACCTTTCATTATTAAAGACTACTGTATTACTCTGTCGTAATTGTTTTAACTAAGCAACCAATCTACTTCCTGTTCACACCGGCACCCACCCGCATGCCCAGTGTGCGTAAAGAGTCAGGCTTGCTAATATGGACAGAAATCATTTCACAACCGATGCTGAAACGCCCGTGTGGACGGAGTTTGTTTTTGGTTTAAAACCCTGGTTTTAACCGAAAACGTATTAGTGTGGATGTAGCCTAAAGCCGTCGTAACAGAAAAGTAGCAGCGTTTGGGTAAGAAGCCAGTTCAACCTATGGAATCCATCTTCAAGTAATACACAACAGTGGTTCAGACCAATCGCAGTCCTGTGAGGAGCTACTGGCAGCTAGGGGCATGTCATATAATATATCACTGTCAAGATCCATTGTCCTGCATTTTTAGTACTTTTACACGAGGTACTTTAATTTGGCTGATAATACTTTAGTGGGATTTTTGAATGCAGGACTATTTCTTGTAATGTATTTTCACATTGTAGTATGCTACTCTTCCTTCTCTGCTAGTCCTATCAGCAGTTAATCCTCTTGGTGCGACATACAGCTTGATGCAAAGCTTATCATGTTGAAGAGCTAGTGTAAGAAACAGCTGCCATCGCTGTCTAATTAACAGTACCACTGACAGTCTGCTGCTGACTTTAACCTCCAAATCCATTTACAGCTTTAATACTAAAGGTCAGAGGAACAGAGTTACTGAAAAGGAAAATCAAAGAGAGTGTTAAAGTATCAGGAAGGGGTAAAAGAACCAAGAGTGAGACAGGAGAGCACAAAATGAAAAACAGATGAGAGCGATTGAAGAAAAAAAAAAAGAAGCCCCACTGAGAAAGCAGAAAGGTTCAGAAATAATTGAGAGATGGGAGGTATAGGCGAAGAAAAGCGGAGTGGGGTGAATAGAGAGCGCATAGAGAGGGAGAAAGAGTCATTGAGAGAGATGAAAGACTCATGTGGAGAGAGACAGACAGTGAGCGAGATACTGATCAATATACATAGAGAAGCAGAAACTAAAAAGCAAGAAGTAAAGACAGTGAAAGGAGCCCAGCTGATCTTTATGCTCTGTTAGCTGTCTGCTTTGACAATGTCATGTTGCCTGATTGATGATGGGAATAAGTGGGAGGCTGGAGACTCTGGAAATCAATTTTAAATAAAAACACAAACATGAGCACATGCCCAAAACATTAAGAGAAATGTTCTACAACATCTCTCCCAATGCAACGCGTTCTCACTCCCAACTCATCAAATAACAACACTTGGTCAGTGCCCTCGACGTCTGACACTAATGTATCAAGGCCTCCTTCAGCATCTGTATGAGATGCAGTGGGCTTTCAACTAACTCTAATGTAAACCCTCCCATGTCATTACTACACGCTCACAGCAACTGACGTAGTATAAAGAGCTATGACGTCCACTCAGAGCCAGACGGAAGGGGTGGAGGTTAGCTCAAACAAGCACAGACCTTCACCCAGGACACTGCTGTGTGAAGTTTTCTGTCAAAATAAAAGTAGTTTTTTTAGTTTCTTTTTACCTCAAGTACTTTTGTTTCCTAAACCCAACCAAGTAGTTTTGTTGTGTAAGTAAACCGACATTGGAAGTTTATTTTGAAAAGACACTATCCATGTAATGAGCAGAAACAATTAGTACCAATTTGAAGTAAACCACAATTTATTTATTTTAATGGAAGAGTAGGTCATGAATGTGTTTTGTGTTTGGTGGGATAATGTGTAGACATTTATAGAGAATATTATATTACATAATTGATAAAATAATAACAGTATTTCTCTTAGTATGCACTCATCAAAATGATGATATACCCAAGCCCAGATTTAACAGATTTAAAACTACTGGTATATACTCATCAGCCAATCACGTGGCAACAACTCATTACTTTTAGGCATGTAGATATGTCCAAGACGATGAGCTGAGGTTCAAACCAAGCATCACAACGGGGAAGAAAGGTGATGTAAGTGACTTTGAATGTAGCATGGTCTTTTGTATCAGACGGCCAGAAACTGCTGATCTACGGGGATTTTCACACACAACCATCTCTGTGATTTACACAGAATGGTCCGAAACACACGCTTGAATCATTGATACAATCAGGATGGATCCATGCTTTCATGTAGTTTATGCTAAATGCTGACCTTACCATCTGAACGCCGCAGCAGAAATAGAGACTCATCAGACCAGGCAACGTTTTTTCCATCTATCCAGCCGTTATCTTCCGGGCTCAGAAGGGTATTCATGACGTCCCTCTCCCAGGCAACATGTTCTGAGCTCCTACTCTATCTCTAAGGCTGAGCACAGCCACCCAACAAAGGAAGCTCATTTCGGCCGCTTGAGTCTGCAATCTCATTATTTTGGTGACTAACCAAAGCTGATGACCATATGTGAGGGTGAAATTTAGAGGTCTGGTAAATTGAAAGCTTTGCCTTCCGGCTCAACTCTTCACCTCACTTGAACTCCATTGCTTGGGGAAGTGACTCACTGGCAATCCACCGTTTTCTATCTATGGCCTCAGACCTCAGTAGAGGTATTGACTCTCATCTCACCCGCCTCGCACTGCACCGCAAACTGTCCCAATGGCAACAGAACCACATAATTTGTATAGAGCAGGAAACATTTTTCCAATTGTCTCTTGTCCAATTTTGGAGAACCTTTGCCAATTGTAGCCCAAGTTTCCTCTTGTTAGCTAACAGGCGTGTGTTCTGCTGAAGCCCATCTGCTTTAAGGCTTAAGATGTTGCAGTGTCAGAGTTGCTCTTCTGCATACATTGCCTGTAACAAATGGTTATTTGAGTTACTGTTGCCTTTCTGTCAATTAAAACCAGTCTGGCCATTCACTGGATATTTTCTCTGGTTTGGACCATTCTCTTTAAACCCAAGAGATGGTTGTGTGTGAAATTCCCAATAGATTAGCTGTTATAATAATACTCAAACCAGCCCATCTGGCACCACAACCATGCTACCCTCAAAGTCACTTACCTCACCTTTTTCCTCCATTCTGATGCCTTAACTTAACCTGTTAAACCCGAGTTGCATGAGTAAATCGGCCGATCACAGGCCTTACCAGGCTCACATACACACACATTATGAGGCATTTATTTTTGTCTTGCAGATTGTCTTGACCATGTCGAGGTGCCGTCAACATATTTGCTCATTCTATGACCACGCTGGGCAAAGTTGAATAATTGCAAATGCATATATCAATACTAGACACCTTAAAGGCAGGGTTGGTAATCTTGAGAAAATAGCAAGAGTACACTAGATTTTAAAATGATCCAAATGAAAAACCAACCCAAGTGTTGTGTACTCTTTCTCAAAGACAGTAGCTAGCAGCAGTAGCTCCAACACTGACAGCCTATCAGGCCGCCATCTAAAGCCACTCCACCCCAGCATGTTCATTATGAACGTAAACATATCATAATGAACATAAACAACGAACATGGCAATTGTTAGTACTCACAGTTGTCAAGTTAGCAGCTTGTGAAAGACTCCGCTAGCAAGCGATGAGTGCATGGGCTGTATAGGCGCAGGCAGGTAGCCCGTCCAATCATGACATTCGGGCCAAATGAAATGCCTGGAAGGGCTTTTTAACTCCTGCGACAACAACAGATACCAGATTTCTTTTTTTGTCAGAGCATTTGATTCATTGATTACTGTCCGGATGTAATGACGTGTAAAAACAAATGTTTTTGAAGATCACCAATGCTGCCTTTCAACATGATGTGTATGTCTATGTTCTTTATGTTAACATACTTTAATAATCATTTGTTTGGGAGCTTTGATGTAGCCATGCTCTTCTCATGGTGCAGCAAGGAAGTAAACAGCTCTGGTCATGTGACCATTTAAACCCTACATGTGACACTGTACATATTTTATCTAAATCCTTTATTATATATTTATTTTTGCTGGAAATGCATTGATACATCATTCAGTAACATTTTTAGAGCCTGACAACTGGAAACTTTTTTTACGGTCACTGTTGTGACCAATGGGATCAAATGGGTTTGGTTTGTGCTTTTGTTCTTATATATTTTGTCCTACTGTAGACAAGTATGAAATACATCTAAATAAGGACAAATTTACAAGCAAATGAGAGATACTTTGCATTCGTAAAAAGTATCCTTGCGCATGCATAATCTATTCTCAGTCTTTACATGGGCAGTGTGCAAATACTGCTGCTTGGTCAGTGTCCCTCTGCATCAGAGATTAACAGGCTAGGTTCCCCTCTAACGTTACTGTTCAATGTGTCAGGACGGCTTGTCAATATACGCATGTATCATGCGTAGTGACCTATCAATGTGACGATACTAACAACTAAGATGACAAAAAATAACGCTTACTTTTAGTTTCACACAGGCCACAAACAGCAGTCTCCTGGTTTAAAGTCTTGTATTTGTTTGACCCATCCACCACCATTCCTGCCCGCCCAAAACCAGACTCTCACACACTCTGTACTGCGTCACCAGCTCTCACCGTCCACTAATGCCGGGGAAGGGTTTACATTGGAGTTAGTTGAAAGCCTGGTGCGTCCCATACAGTCAGTGTCAGTGTATGACTAAGTCAGTGTCTGTGTGTAAGGCTCCTGGCTCACCAACGTCAGACATCTCTGGAACAGTTGCTGAGAATGGTCCATCAGGGAAAGTTGGAGCATTATCATTGACATCCTGGACCTTGATGATAAACTCTGACTCCGCCTCCAGGGACCGGTTTGTCCGCCAGTCGATGGCCTTTGCATGTAGGACATACTGGGACTTCCTCTCACGGTCCAGGCTCTTTGCTGCGTGGATGTCACCCGTTGTCTCGTCAATGAGGAAGATAGACCCGGCCCCCTCACCAGACAGGATGTAGCTCACAGATCCATCACCCTTGTCAGAGTTGGAGTGGAGCTGGAGATGTTAGAAGGAGAAAATGAGGGAGGGAGGGAGCAGTAAAGTGTCTGACAAGTATGTGATACAAAGTAATAGCCAAGTGTCAGGACGAGTGGTCAGTTAACGGTGAGGAGCACGCAATGAGAGGCACAGCTATCAAATGAGGGAAGGAGAAGTTAAAGTTGCTGTCACAAAGGAGAGTGTAACAGAACATCTTCCACACATGCAGTCTCTCCTGAGCTAGATGTGTCACAGAGTAAATTAAAGATAAAGAGAGAGAGAGAGTGAGACGGGTAAGAACCAGGAGAAAGAGAAAATAGTATTCTAGTATCGTTGTCAGGCACAAGTCAGACTATGTGTGGCTAGCTGTGTGTAAATGAACTTCTACCATAAGTGTAATATAATAAAATAACAGCATAAGTGTTCAGATTTATCTCAAATGTTCTGTGACAGTAATGCTGGGTTCAGACTGCACGCTGTCATGGCCTGACCCCTCAGAGGTAAGGGGTATGCAACAAAAATGGATTATTGATTGTTTTATTCTGTATCATAGTGGATGACAAATGACGCAGCATCTGAGTGACCTCCAACGTCTCGAAAAAAACACTTTCAGAATTTTTTGTCACACTGAGTATGACAAATACAGACAATGTATAGATTCAAAGTAATCCCTCTCAATCATCACTTAAGACCCACTAAACGCGTGTGGCAGTTTCCATACCCACAGAGACCCTGCCATCTGCCTGTATTTTTTTTATTTGGATAAAAACGTAGAGACCAGGTGCCAGATCCTGATGAAGCTACAAAAATGTCAGACAGTGCCTTACAACTGCAAATATATGAAGAAACACCAAGCAGACAAAGCTCATTCCAAAACCAGAGGGAATCTGGGGCGGGCTTTCACCCGCTGGGAACAATTAGCGAGGTCAGGGGGCGTGGCTTCTAGTGTTGTTAAGCCGGGAGGAGGAGGGACCAACTTTGAAGAGAGAGTGAACTACATTGTCATTCAGAGGACTTGTCTTTGGCACAGTACTACAGTTTGTGCTTTTCATTAAAACCATCACAAAAACAACAAGAAAACTTCTTAAAACATGAAAACATTGAAAACATGGCAGGTTAAAAATGCTCTGTTTCCAAACTACAACCAGAATATCCTACTCATTCTGCCTTTAAAATGTTATGAAATTGACGCTGTATCTGTGTGTTTTAAAATCAGTATCACAGTGATATCTAGCTAAAGTTAGCATATTTGCTTTCATAGTCTACTTTGTGAATTTCAGTGTGGTGGCTAGCTATATTAAGGTTTCACTATAAGCAAAACGCTTTTGATGGATTGGTTGTTTTATTCTTTCTCTTTTTGTCACCAGACACAACTGTAGACCCACTTCAGACAACTTTGTTTCTTCCCAGAAGTCGGTCCCTGGCCCTTCCTCCCCAATGACATCACGGGATCATGAAAGACAGCAAGCCAGTCTTTCATGTCCCTTATCTAAGTCGCAGCAAGAATCTAGGACCCTAGAATCGTCTGTTCTCTGAACTGTATAGTCTGAACTCGGCATAATGTAGTTCATGTCCAGGGACAGATGTCCTATGTTGTAAAGCCCTCTGAGGCAAATTTGTGATATGTGACATTAGGCAGTATAAATAAAATTGAATTGAACCCTCAGATGTTGGTAATGGTATCACATGCAATCAGACAATGTGTAAATGCAAGTTTAAAAAAATGCTTGGGAACACATGAAGAAGTATAAAATATTGGGATGCTTTTTCATGAAGGTTCAGGAGATTTCAAGTTGTATTGGGCTATTATAATTAAATGAATCATCATCGAGGACTTTTGTTTCTAAATGCTTTAAAATGGTCAGTTTAGCTGTAAAGTTAAAACTGAAAATCTGAGTCAAACCTGTAAAATAATGCTGCATACCTAAGTTATGCATTGTAGCAAAGAATAGATTCACATTTTTTACTACATGAAATATATATCAGTTTGTTTTTCAGGTAATGTATGTATTTATACGGTTATTATTGCATATAATATAATATGTAACCTAACTTATTTGTTCCGATCCCTACATTTGGGGATTTAGTCAGGTCTCTTAGCCATGTCTCCCAACCACCACACTTTTAGCTCGATCTAAAATCACTCAGCATTCAATACAGAAAAGACTTGAAAGACAAAAACACTGTTTTAACCTTATTTAATTGTTGTATTTTATCTTATTCAGGCCATGTGGAACATGGTGAACCTGCTAACAATAGACCTGCCTCCTCACACCATGAATTCCAAAACAGTGGTGGAGACAACAAAGTGTCAAAGGAGGCAAATCTTGACACAGTCGGCTCCATAAAATGAAACAAAAACAGACAACACGACACAATGAGCTGCAGAGAGAGACAGAACATAAATACACTGTCAGTAGGCGCTCGAACAAAGCTGCAGTGTAAAGACAAAAGCAATCCATCTCCCTGGCAAAAAATAAAACATTTAACAACAAAAAGAAGAGACAGGAGGAGACAAAGAAAAGAGGGGAGGAGGATAAAAATACAATAGCATGGCCGTGTGTTACTAAGCAGCAGCTGTTGATGAAGGAGCAGCAACTGACATTTTGAGGCTAAAGTATTTCCCCATGTGCGTGTTTCTCCAGATAGAAGAACAAAGGATGTGACAGTGAAATAGGAATCAAAAAGCATGTGGGCGGTGAGGAAGCGACGGTTATCAATTTAAACAGGTTAATTCCCTGATGGGATTTAAAGGACATGCTACACTAAGCTCCATCACTAACTGTGAGAGCAGAGACACGATAAGGTGGTTTCACTCTGATTCGATAATACTGTATCCTCTTTATATAACATCGGTGCATCATTCTGTCAACAGAAATGAGAAAGTGTGAAGAAGCTTGCTGTGTGTTGTTCCAAGTTGTGTGGGTCTTCTCCTGTCTTTGTCCTTGAGTAGTGCGGTTCTCAGAACTGGACTTGGTCCCCAGGCACCGGCCTGTGGCTGCACACTGATCCTTAATCAGTTGTGCTCGGTCGAAGTTAGAGGAAGAACTAGGAAAATGGATAGAGAGCAGTGCAGTGGGGTGTTGTGTCTAGTTGCTGTGGTGGAATTATTTTAATCAAACTATTTAAGTATTTAGGCTGCCTCAGTTTGAATAATGAAAAATGCTGTTAGTGACAATTGCAAGTGACTAACAATTGTGTTGTGATTTTTGAGACTCACCGAAATTTTGGTATTGAGGCTTTCATAATAGTCATTCAAGCACCCCCCTGTATTTCACAAACTGATTTAGTCTTCTATTTGCAAGCTCTTGAAACAATGAGCGAAGAATTCCCACTTGAAGTAACCTTCCATCTTTGGTTTATGAACAAATACCTGCAGAACTAATGACATTCTCATCACCCTCGGCTGTGCAGTGCTAGGTATGAAACTTTAGCATGCTAAAACGTTAAACATTATAGCTACCTGCTAAACATTAGCATATTAGCGATGTCATGGTGAGCATGTTAGCGTGCTGATGTTAGCATTTCACTCGAAGCATTGCTGTGCCAAAGTAGAGGCTCACAGAGCTGCTAGCATGGCGGCAGACTCTTGTTTACACATTGTAACAGTGCAGGTTTGAGCCATTTAGCTGTAGCTTCCACTGCATTTACATTCAGCGCAGTAAACTGTGCGTGTGTGTGTGTGTGTGCCTAAAGCTCTGCTTGGGGTTGAGAAAGAGGAGTAAAATACATGTTTCTGTGACGATTACCGACTGTCGGTTCCACTCAAGTTGACAAAATAACACGGGTAACTTCATATTCAATTTCACATGGCCTCTGAAACATAATGGAAACGGTACTGTTGCCTGTAGTATGACAAGTTTGAATTGCATTTTTTCACAGCATCCCCACCAACTGCTGCTGTTGTACCTGTACTGGATTTCCCCTTTTTTGCTGCTGTGTTACAAATGAATGATAAAAGGGCTGCATATGCTAATGATAGTAGTATGTATAGTATAGTAGTGCTCTGTAGCATTATCAGTTTGTTGTGGCCGGTCAGGTTGTTGCTTCCCAACTCTATAAATTTACGTATAAGCCAGCCAATTAATTTTCTGTTTTCTTTTGCAGCAGCTGGAACTCTTTACAAAGTGTCAGATTTGCTGTGTTTGATATTGTATACTAACATTCTGTATACTATATACTTAATATATATAAATAAATATATATTAATATATCCATCAGACCGTTTGATGACCGTGATGCCGTATCAAAATCTCACTTACTGTTTAGGCATCCAAAGTATATCTGAATGCAATAAAATTTCCTAATTTCTACTATTGTATTTCATGCTGGGCACATTTCCATATTTTTATCCTGGAATGTCACAACATTACATTTTAAGAAACTAATCCTGTTTACAATAATTTGACACAGACATTGTCAGTGTACTTTATGAGAGACCTTGATGTCTGTGTTTTGTCCTGTGTCTATCACTGTTAAATTAGGGAGGAGACAGTTGGGAAGCGAGGGGGTCTAGATATATCTACAATTATAAAATCGTGTACAATATATCTCTTCTCTTTGTATGAAATCCATTTTAATTTTAAAATATCTTTTGACAAGGTCCCTGACAAATAATTGTAATAAACTAAACTAAACCTTAGAAATATGCCGAGAGAAGCAAAGGCATATTTTTGGTGTCCAAGCTAGAATATGTGAATATTGGTGCGTAGAATATCAAGTGCCGCTCCAAAGACCTTGAAGGGATGTTACGTTATAATTGTCAATTATGCAACAAGAGCACAGAGGAAGAAAGTGCTTCGCTAAAGAAGTGTCTGTTATGATTGTTTGTTCACAGTCCAAAAGTATTGAAATATATTCATTGTAATCATTTACAAAATTCGCAACATGTTTTTATCCAATAAAATATTGTGCTTCAATCTATATTTGTTGGCATTTAACGTTTCAAAAACAAGTGTTTCACTACCGTCAAAAAACTATCCATTGGCTGCACATGAAGGGAGGCAACGCACATATAT